ATCCAGGATTCTTGTTTCATGTAACTTAACTTAGTTAAGTATATCCAGAATTGTAGTTTCATGTGACAACTTAGTTAAGTAGATCCAGGATTCTTGTTTCATGTAACTTAACTTAGTTAAGTATATCCAGAATTGTAGTTTCATGTGACAACTTAACTTAGTTAAGTAGATCCAGTATTCTTGTTTCATGTGACAACTTAACTTAGTTAAGTATATCCAGAATTATAGTTTCATGTGACAACTTAACTTAGTTAAGTATATCCAGAATTGTAGTTTCATGTGACAACTTAGTTAAGTAGATCCAGGATTCTTGTTTCATGTGACAACTTAACTTAGTTAAGTATATCCAGGATTGTAGTTTCATGTGACAACTTAGTTAAGTAAATCCAGGATTCTTGCTTCCCGTAACTTTTTAAGTCAGCTGTGTAGATCCAGTCTTTCTAAAGTTATAGATATTTCTCAGCTGATATCGGACGATTACGTTATTTGACGTCATCATTCCTCATACCCGGATGTTTGGACAACTTGACACAATATACGCAAGAATTCGCCCCTGATGAAGAAAGGACAACCTTTCGAAATCGCTCGGGTTCTATGATTTCATGTATTTTTCTTCATGTAAAAGGAAGGGTGTATTCGCATATAATACACACAATCCGTCACTAAATGTCTCGTACATATCATACTAGTAACATAATATACATTTGTAGTACACTTCCCTCCTTCTGCAATACATATTTTTTGTCTATTAGTAAAGTAATTAATTTATTTTAATGATAGTGGTATAACTAAATTAATCAGTCGTTCAAAGTTTGTCAAAATGTGTGGGGATTTGAAATACGTCAGTAGAATGAAACTGATGTCTATCTAACAGTTTTCTAAAAAAAATCTTTGTTTTCTTTGTGTAGTCGGATATTTATCATCAAAGCGTCTACGAATTAGTGCACTCGGAAGATCGTGAAGAACTGCAGCGCCATCTGATGTGGAATTCACGATTATCTGCTGATTGTAGTGGTCTTAGTTTGCAGGAAGTTCTAACATCCGGTTTGTATTCAAACAAGAACCAATCGTAAAAGTTTTATAGTTTTGTTTTAGATTTCTTTCACCAGTCTAAGGTTAAAAAACAAACAACAAAAAAAGACATTCGAGTCTCCTCAGTAAATATGATTGAATATACTTCTTAAGAAATGTTTTTATAGTTTGTTTACATGATGTGACCAAATTATTTCAGACATCTATACATCTTATAAGATATTGTGCAAAGATTGAACCCCCCCCCCCCACACACACAGGTTGACATTTTCCCTTACTTCGCCTTACCTGCACAGGTTCACACATACACACACACGCCAAGCAATATTAGTTGTTTTTTTCAACATTTGAACAATTAGAGAAGGGACATTAATTATACACTCTCTCCGATTGATTGAAAGAGCGTTTAAGCAGGCGAGTCTGTGTTTATTATATCAAGGCAACCATTAACCTATCATCGTAGCTCCCAATAGCTTCAGATAAAAGACCTCAACAAAGACTCAAACTCTCCACCAATTTAGCGGATTTACATTAGAGGCTCTCCTGATCTCTAATTGTCAGCAAAGCGGTGGTTTGGATTGCGTTAATTTTCAGATATATTAACACTGTCTTCTGTTTTATTCCCTTATCTAGTGAATCAACACTGGTTATTCATGTCATGAATCAAGTGTAGTAACAGCCCAGACGTAATTACTGAATTCACAACTCTTGACCAGAAGCTAATCAGCTGCTTTCAAATAAAGATTATAATTCCTACGTAGTTATTATTCATTCCTTGTAGCTTTACAGCGATGGTGAAGAGATGCCATTTGGGGTAGTGTCACTGTTTATCATCAAACTATATGTCTGATACTCCAGTTTTGTCAAAAATTTGAACTTCATTTAATATCTATTGACAACAGCGACACCCTGTTCTGCACTGGACATATGTTGTCACATTTTTCAACAGAAAATAGTGCTTATGTTTGTGAAATTAAAGCTTATGTAAATATATCTATATATATGCATGAATCAGGCACGTTATCTAGTATATATTTGTGTCACGTGTAAACCTCACAGACTAGTTAAAAGATTATTAAATGTATTGACTCGACTTTTCTCTCGTACTTTAACGTTAACATACTAAGAGTGAAATTAAAAATCAACCTGCCCAGCAGTATAGTTAATTAAATATACGTTGCAACTTATACAGATTAAAGGGCATTATTTATTTAGTTTTACGCTAACACTGTTGTGGTACAGGTAACTGTTGTGGTACAGGTAAACTGTTGTAGTACAGGTAAACTGTTGTGGTACAGGTAAACTGTTGTAGTACAGGTAAACTGTTGTGGTACAGGTAACTGTTGTGGTACAGGTAAACTGTTGTGGTACGGGTAAACTGTTGTAGTACAGGTAAGACCCCATATCAAGTTCAGAACGAGGAATTAACTAGTAATCTTCGAATTTTCTATTCTATAGATAATATGGAAACTATAAAATCTAATTACGTGTTATTCATCAAGGATTGGAACTGTGTATTTTATTACCTTTGCAGCATTTGTCAATGTGTGTTTATGTCGTTAAATAATTAGATAAAGATACATTCATTCCCATATGAAACCATAGTGTCATTTTCATCGCCTTTATAAGTATTGAGTTCAAAAACAAAAAATAGGGCTAATTTTGATGTAAAAATTGGCAAGTAAAGAAACCCTTCTGAAAAAATACTGTTTTTCTCTTGTTTTGTCTTAAGTTATCTTATTGTTGTAAATAGATAAAGGTGTTCCACCGGATAGCAAAGAAGCTCTTACCACAACAATAATGAAATGTCTAACTCTAAGAGCTCCTTAAATCCGTGAAATTCTCGGCAAAAACGGTTTTCACCAGAATAATGAAATGTGTTTTAGCTTCTCAGACCAGTATAAATAACTTCTGGAAATAAACTGTTTGATTCAGTCTACTTGAAACTTTCTATGCGTAAAAACACAGTTGAAATTTGTAAATAAATAAAAAACAGAACGCTTACATATCTGGAATCACGAACAGATGCGATGTAAGACATATTTTTACACCATGTAATTTATTGTTTAATTAATAGACTTATTTTTTTTTCATAGTTTAGAATTATTTATTTGCATAATCTTTTCTGACTTTTCTTTTTGCTAATTTTTAGTTTATTAAAACCTCTTCAAGGTCGGCTTAATTAATTCAATTTTTACTCCCTGTTGCCCAACTTTTGAACTACAGTCTCAGTCAGGTACGCTAAAATGTGTAGGCCTAACGATGTGGTGTTCATGATACCCAACACGTAGCCTAAAATGAAAACAAAAAGCTATTTAAGCCTGTATGTGTGGACCTGTGAACATCGTGGTCTTTATTTATGAAGGTTTCTTTCTTCTTGTTTATAGAAATGTGTTTATTAGGAAGATTGATACTGGCGCACGTTACATATTCAAGTTCCAAACAGTAAATATAACAAGGTTTTAAGTTATTTCAGTGTTCGTTGACCAAGCTTTTATATCTATATATATATAGTAGGCCTTAGTTTAATAGACATTATTAATGTACTAAATTTCTTACGTTGAGGGTTA